CGTAAACCCCCAGGCTGGCCGTAAAGACCTTGCAACCTTCCATTTTGCTTCTAACACTCTTATTTGTAAGTTAAACTTACAAATTAGTCAAATTCCTTATCATTCTTATGATTCTATTCACTAGCTGTATACATATATACTACGTGAAATGCATTTTAGGACTTGTTTTGTCTCGGGATCTAACTTGTGGAAACAATCATCCTAAATCGAACCTTCAAACGAATCATCCACATAAGGTGAGTTCATACCCCTACAATTTACCTTTTTAAATGCTTTTAGGGGGGGGATACAAGTAGAACACAATTTATTTGTGTTAAACCTTTACATGTAGAAACAATCAAACAAAAGGATTTCTTATGCTTATATATTGTTAAAATTAATCATTTCAAAAACTCTTTTAAACTATTTTAGATTGTTGTTTATTATCAAAATCGTATTCATTTATATATTTATGTATAAATATGCTTTAACGGACTTAGGACTATTGCTAAATACCTTGACTCCTGTTCCTTGTTTGGTTGTGGGCTTAGGGTAGGATCACTAGTCCGACTGTCGGTTAAATCATAATTATGCATGCTAAATATATACATGAATATTAAACCCCATTTTTAAAGATCATACTTAACTCAGTTGCATATGTAGGGTAATTGAGTCTTTTCTTCAAATCATTTATCGTACAGACAAACATACTAGTAAACTATAATAGGTATAGTTTAGGAAATCAATTCATACTATTTTCTAGATCAGAGAAACATTACAAGAAACAATTTACAAACATGTTAAGACACAACAACTTTCATAACAAAATAGAAACAGACTTATAATTTATAACGAATATATTGAAGGGACAAACAAAACTATTTTCACAAGGTTAAGTTATAAACAAAAAGGATTCTCAGTTATTACTCGTAATGCGAACAAACAATTTGTGAGTCATTCTTGTGTACTTATCTAAGTATGGGCAAAAGTCCTGAGCTTATAACCAGAGTCTCCTGTAGGGAGAGCGATGACAATTGTGTATAGATCTATGTTGGGACTGACAATCCCACATCCCGACTGTTAGCTACAGTCAGGTCGACAGGCCTGGGATGAAAAATGTTGTTACCAATTTTGACGTCTGAAAAACGTCATCATCAGGAAGACAGTGTTAGTATGGTTATAAGAACTCACAGGGAGAAAATCCCGACCTATTTACGAGTAATTTATATTCAAATAACTTCTTTTGATTAGTAATCTTACAGTCGGTTTACAAAACAAACTTACTTCAGTGGTGTTATCTTAACAATACTACTGCAAGTTATTATTTTCCATTATCTGCACACAGAAAGGTTCGTACATGAACAAGCATACTATTTTTCTAGTAAAGATAGTATACTTTTATGGAAAACACACATTATACAATTTCAGAGAACAAACATACATTTACACAGTTACATAGAACAAAACATACATTTACACTGTTACAGAGAACAAAACATACAAACATTTGAGTCTTAGGGTTGAAGACTACTTTTCATTTATTATAGAAAATATAGGATTTTTTGGAGAACATAAACTAACACTTTCATAGATCAAATACAAACATTTTCATGAAACAACTACAAACAAATGACACTAAAATCTTATGAACTCACCAACTTAAATGTTGATACTCTCTTTCAAAATTACTTGTATTCTTAGGGAATCAATAGACAGGTATCCTGGATCAGGTTTTGATAGAAGACAGAGCATGTTCAAGACTCGTATTTTATTTTGCTTTACTTTTAGTGTCATACAACTATTCAATGAACACACATGTATTAACTATATTATTAATGCAATGGATGTTGTTGTGTGACAACCCGATATTCCAAGTCAATGTATTGTTCAAAAGTCAAATGTTATAATCTATTTTGGAATCATTAAAAACAGCGTCAAAAAAATAAAGTGTTCTAAAGTCTCAATTGGGATACATAAAATGTTAGATATGGTGTCAAGGTTTTCAGAAATATAAAGAACACTCAAATCCGAGTTATAACGAAGAAGTTATGACCAATCGAAAATCCGCGACACAACCGGTAAAACACTGTTAAGCGTAAAAAGTGAAATTTCAATAAAATACTTTTTAGCCATAGGTATCTAAACGAAGGTCGTAGATTATGTTAAACCGTGAGCGTGTATAAAAAGAACGCCCAAATCTGATTTCGTATGAGGAAGTTATGATTTTTCCAAGTTTCGGATATAACAGTATACAACTAAGAACTCGAAATAGAGATCGAGCCATTTTTAGCCGACGCAACCTAAACGAGAATTGAATATCTCGACATTAGTAGTACAACGGTAAAAAGACAGACGAAAACGGACATCGGATGAAGAAGTTATGAATTTTTAACGGATTTATCCTGTCCCGGCCTATTTAAAATATAATATTAAAAATTTAATTCAAAATTAGCCAACGGATTCTAAACGAAAGTTGTAGAGTATATTCTCACCTACACGTGGATATAAATAACGTAAAAAACGGAGCTAGTATGCGAAAGTTACACATTTTAGAAGATTTGGGCACACACTTCGAGGCTTATCCGAAGGGTTACGCTCCGCGTACTTCGGATGTACGCCTAGTGTACCCGATACAAGGCCTCGGATCGGCCAAGTCTCCCCTATGCTACTCTACTCCCGTCCCATCCGAAGACCGGCGACCGATGATGACGTCATCGCTGACGTACGCCCCGCGTACGAGGGTACGCCCAGCGTACGAGCTGCGGACGAGGTACGCCCAGCGTACTTCGGAGTACGCCCAACGTAGGAGGCTGCCTCCACCACTATAAATAAAGGTGCGAGGGTGCCGGCTCCATTTTCTAATTCACACCATTTCTCTTCCCCTTTTTCACTCTCGAGCCTCCCGAAACTATCCCGACGCCCCGGTTACGTACCCGAGTCCCGACGAAGGTCCGAAGCTCCGAGATTCCCGAGGAATATACCACTTCCCGGTCGAGGTGCTGCCCGAGAAAATATCGTTTTCTTCAAATCACCACACTTTCCAAGTGAGTTCATACCCCTACATTTTCACGTCTTTTTCATGTTTTAGGGGGGAAATACAAGTGAAACACGAGAAAAACTTATGTTAAAATACGCATCGTTATATATGATTTCAAATACTTTACCTATATTTGTTTATAAATGTTAAACAACATTAATATCAACGTTACACTTTACATGCAAAGTTGGTATTACATCAAGTTTTTATCACCAAATGGAACACACTTTTGAAAAACTATAATGGGTATAGTTTACGAGTTATTCATGACATCTTTACATAAACACTGTAAAAAGGAAACACTTTCGTTTACAAGAAATGTGGACTTTTCATTCCGTAAATCTATTGATACTAAGTTTTGTGAGACATCTGACTTCACCGTACTCTCAAGTACGCATTTCAAGTCCTGTATTATAAGCCATAATCTCTTGTAGGGAGAGCATGATACTTGTGTATTGATCTATACGGGATTGACAATCCCGCACCTAAGCTGTTAGCTACAGTTAGACCGGCAGGTCTGGGGTGACAAACGTCATAACACTGCAACGCCTGAAGAACGTTGTTACAGGCAGTCTGGGTCAATAGCATGGTTATAAAACTCACATAGGGTATCGGAATATATTTGATTTACGAGACTCTTAAATGCATTCAGTAATTACATTATATATGTATAAATCCACTTTCACCATTTTAGCATGAAAGATAATATTGCATTCCAGCCCTTGGAACGTTTTCAAACTATCACACATATATAGAAAATATTGGATTTTCTGGAAACACGTTCAGTTATTTTTACCAAAAGACATACAAATTTTGTTACAAAAACGCTTATGAACTCACCAACTTAATTGTTGACGCTTTTTTCAAAACTACTTGTATTTCTTAGGGAATCAGTAATTCAGGTAAACATCAGCTTTTGGAGAAGGAACGCTAAGGTGTCAGTTATCAAAACATTTTAAATCATCATATTTGTAATATTCTTTTGAAACATGTATTACCTGCAACAATGTAACTTTTTATTATATTTATGATGGTTGGGTTTACTTTCTTTACAAATATTCAACTGTTATGATACTACGTGAAGTCATCCGCCCCCGAATGTTTCCGCCATTCTGGTTTGGGGGTGTGACAGATTGGTATCAGAGCATTGTTTATAGTGAACTAAGTATATCAAACCACATAAGATATACAAACTATAAATGCAAAGGGACTAAAAACCCTCTGACAAAATGTTTTCGCAAACTATACTTTTAATAAATTAAAATGATATATATATATATATATATATATATATATATATATATATATATATATATAAGTATAAGTACATGCATGCATCGGTCTAGTATCATAGCCAAAATTTTACAAAAGTATTAAGGCAAGTTATGAAGTTACGATTAGGCCTCGGGGTATGTAATCAGATCGAGAATAAATATAGCCTGATCAACTATATTTATCCTAGATGTGACCAACGTATGTTGAGGAATGGTCGTAGTGAACAACAAGTCAAAAAATTACCAAATAAAATTCTAGAACCGAACTTACAAATTTGAAATACTATAGGAGTATTTTGCAAAACTATAAGAACTGTAATAATCGTACGAACCTCGATATTTAGTTAGAAATAGGAATCGTCAAATAAATAGAAATATCTTTATCAAAAATTACCCTTTTTACTCCCAAGTTTTATATATAATTCTCTTACCTCTATTCTCGACCAGACAAAATGGTAGGATTTCACATTCCCGGGGATCCCTACTACCCCAACCAGGGTAATAGAGGCTGGATTGAGGAAGACCCAGAGGAAGATCCCGAAGCGATTCCCGAGGAAGAGCCAGAAGAGGATTCCGAAGAGGATCCCGAGGCTGGATTGACATCTATGCTGTTCCCAAAGGTGAACATCCTTCCCAGTTCTGAAATTCGACTTTTAAATCACACAATTTCATAATTATCATTCTGATTTTTCAAAATCATAATTAACAGAATGTTTAATCTCAATAGGGTGGTTGGGAATCCATCAGGTTGGTCATCATATTGTTGTATGTTTTCGACATGTAGAAGTTAATCGAAGTTCTAATTTATACATTTGTTCTTACATCTAATATTATCAATGGATTTGATGTAGATATGGTGGATACTATGAATAAGGTAGCAACGTTGGATGTTGAACTAACTATTGAAGAAATGAACTTGATTTCAGTTGGGTACAAGACCGTGGTGGGGTCACAAAGGGCATCATGGAGAATATTGTCTTTAATTGAACAAAAGGATGAATCAAGAGGCAATAAAGTGAATGTAAAACGGATTAAGGAATACAAATAAAAAGTTGAAACAGATTTATCTGACATTTATAGTGATATCTGATGGGTTTTGAGCAAAACAAACAATCCCTATGTGTGCATGCAACCCTAATTGCTTTGGATCTATGTTTTCTCTAATTGAACATACAAGTTTTGAACATAAAAACGAAAAACCCTAAAAGCACTAGTATAATTTTGAAAATCATAACTAGAGTTAGTAAACATACCTTTGGTTGTTATGTTGCAATAACAATGAAAATCCAAGTCTTCTTCAACCTTGAGAGCAAGCGTCGTAAGTGTCACACCTCTAATGGTTCACACCCAAACTCAGCAAGAGGATGAGAGAGGAGAGAGGGGAGGATACATGAGATTTTCGGCTATCCCTTTAGGGTTTATAGTGGCCAAAAATGAGAAGCCCTATGGGTCTATTTATAGTGCAGATAGGATACACTGGATAACCCTAATTTGAATAAAATAATATTAATTCAAATCGGTAATTATCCACCTCCTTAACTATCTACTTAGGATAATATAAAAACCCCAATTATCCTTAGTAAAACCGTCCACCACCTTCTAGGAAGGTTCTGGAACCTCCTGCTCAACAATTGAAAAATTGCACTTTAGTCCCTGCACTTTCAATTAATTCTTTTAATCCTGAAATTAAATCCAATTAATTTCTGATTAAATATTAATTAAATAATATGATTTCTAATTAATATATTATTTTCATAATACATTAATAAATCATTTATTTCAATTTATTAATCAAACAATAAATTCAACCTCTTTCCAAAAGTCATCCTGTCTAGTTGCTAGTTATGAGGGCAACCCAAAATGACTATGCTCTGTCAATTCAAGTATATACCAATTATAGTTATGGACTTAGACACCTAATCCAACAATATCATGGTTGTGATTAAGGAAAATCTCATTCCATATTCTTTTGCTGCTAAATCCCACGTTTTCTACTACAAAATGTGAGCAATATATAATATATAAAAATATATAACCAATAAATTTATTTTCTTTTGAACTTTAATTGATTTGTTAATGTGTTTATGCTTTAATTGCAGGAAGGGTGATTATTATAGGTACCTTGCAGCATTCATATATGGTGATGATAAGAAAGAGGCAGTTGATCAGTTTTTGAAGGCTTGTCAAATAATCTATATGTTTTTTCAATAGTTAATTAAATAAAATTTTCATTTTTCTTTTGTTTTTGTTTTCTAACTTATTGAAATATGATGTTTGTAGTTGGCTTCCACTATTGCAAAAGATGATTTATCGCATACTCATCATATTCGATTGGGTTTGGCTTTAAACTTTTCCATGTTTTATTATGATATTATGAACTCTCCTGAAAGGTATATTGTTGGTTGTTAATACTTAAAATTAAAATTGTTATTTTTTTTTAATATTGGATTTAGGGTTTTGATAAGACGTATGTGCTGACAGGGCATGCGAGCTGGAGAAAAAACTTTTGATGTAGCTATATCATAATGTGATTCCCTGAGTGAGGAATCCTACAAAGATGCCACTTTAATTATGCAGCTCCTGAGAGACAACCTCACTTTATGGACTTCTGACATTCCAGATGATGGAGGTAATTACAATACTACTATTTGATTGCATAATGGTAAATTTGTAAAATTGTGATTCATCTCTAACCATTTACACTGTTTTTTACACTAAAAGATATTCTAAGTATATGCATTTTGTCTTACTTAAATATATTTACAATAATATCCTTATATTTATCAGTTTTTTACAAATTTGCATCGCATCCCTTTTTTTTTTTTACAAAACCATCTGTAAAAGTATCTTCAACACCCATCAAAACACAATCTTTTGCCAACCAAAACCCTGTATCTACAATCCCACCTTTTGATTTCATTTGTTTTTAATGTTGAAACAGTTTTGTATGGGTGTGTTCAGTCAACATCACGTTGATGAGCTTTACCTAACCTCCATCTGCTTTTATATATGATATGTTGATTCCTGATGAAATAAAATGTTTTTACTTAATCATGCTTTTTAGATTAGTATTCCAAATACCGTTAATATGCTCCCAATGTAACCTTTTTAAATATACAATAAAGACCACTTCAAACAAGAGAACAAAATGAAAGCGCATTTACCAACATCACCAATCACAATACAAACTTTTTAGATTAGAATTCCAAATATGTCCCAACCCACTTCAAACAAGAGAAAACTGAAAAAAAATGATCGAACGTTTACCAACATTAACAATAACAATACGTGCCTAATAACAAAGCTCACATCAAAATAGAAAAAACAAAAAAAAGAACCGACTTTGTTGTTCACCACGGGTTCACTTACTACTAACTATTATATTATTATCAGAAAAACATAGTTTAGGTATTTAAGGCTTGTTTATTAAAAGTAGTTTGGAAGCTTGTAGTTGTTAATCGGAATCTATAACTTTTAATTGTGAAGAAATGTTCGATAAATATAACTTTTAACTTTTGATAGTTTGGAGGATTTAGTGGGTTACACAGCCCACTGAAAGTCTCTCTCTCTCTCTCTCTCTCTCTCTCTCTCTCTCTCTCTCTTGAAGCTATGATTTGTTGTATATTGTGCATCAAAATTTGTACCAAATTAATTATGTATGTTTGTAATTAGTTTGTGTATTTTTAATATTTTGTAAATTAGTTTATATAATTTTTATTAGTTTTTGTTTATTTTAAATATAAAAACTAAGTGAGTTTAGTGGATTGAGAAATATAATGTTTCCAAGTGGTTTGGGTTGAGAAAGATGGAAGAGAGAGGAGAGAAAAAAGTTGATGTGACAGTCATTTGAGTGGGTTGGGAGGAAATGACTCCCTCCTCCATACCCGTTCCCGAGTTTAATTTAACGAGAGAAAAGAAAAGAAATGGGTGGAAGTAAGAAGAAAGTAAAAGAAATTGGTGTTCCCGAGTTTCATTAAAATGAAGGAAGTGAAAGGAAGTGGAAGAATCACTTTCCCTCCTAACTTCCTTCCGATTTGGAAGGATTTGGAGAGAAAGAACAAAATGTTTAATTTTCTTTTCACTTTTTTCCAACTTGGAAACACAAAAAACAATTTTTTTCCCTTTCCTTTCTCTTCTTTTCTCTCCTTATGTTCTTTTCTTTGCCATAACTCGGGAACTAGGCGTTAGGGAGGAAGGAGTAGATCCCTCCCAACCATTCAACCCACTATCACATAAGCTTTTATCTCTCCTATTTTTTTCATCTTTCCCAAACCACAACCCATGAAAATTACACATTTCTCAACCCAATCAATTAAAAATTTACAAAAGCTATGGTACAAGCATTTATGCATTAAAAACAAGCAACCAAAGTATGAGAGAGTAGAGAGAATGTAGAGAGAGGGACACACTAACAGGCTGCTATCCTTCCTTTTTGCGGGACCATTTTTTGCTCGAGATAATGCTCCCGACGATACCACCATCCTGAAATCCCCCTTCCTGAGTGGCTCTGACATTCCAAAACTTCTTAAGATATTTGAAGTAATTTTTGAATTATGAAATTTTGTTTAAAATAAAAGCTAAAGAAAAACTCTTAAAAACGGTGTGCCTAACATACCCTTAGTATTGCATATATAGTTTATTTCTGTATACTATAAAAGTTAACTAAAAAGGTTTCGATGTATGAAAGCAACAAATTTTGACGGGTTCCATTGCTATTGTACGAGAATGTTGATATGAAATACTGAAATAAACAAATATAATGGAAGCAATTTAATGGTTAAGGCATGTGTTCAACATGATTTTTAAACAAATTCGTTTTGGTATCGAATGTGTTTTTCTCACAATAAAATAATAAGAATGATCCTTCAAGACCATCAAAAGCAACTAGAACTGAACTTTACCTTGGTGATTTAGTGTGGTGAAGAAAATGATGTATTTGATTCATTTTAATTTGTATTTTTGTGTATATGAATGCTTTATTTATAAAACGTAAATGCATTGTCCAAACCCGATCATATAAACTATTCCATGAGCAATCACAAAATAATGTTCGTCAAATTCTACGCACTAAACAATTTTCAAACTTTACAAAAAAAATAAAATTATGACAAAATGGATTGCTATAAAAAATATTGTTTGCCTCCGCGTCAGCCAGTTGATCATCGCTTATTGTTGGGGCGAGACTTTTGGTTGGTTGATGTGTTGATGGGCTATTTCTTGGTGGGTTGGTGGCCATGGCTAGCAAGGATGTGGGTTAAGGTAATCATGCATTTAGGTTGCTAGTCTAATTGTTATCCTGTCCATCTTTGCTAAGGGTTTTGTCTTTGTATTTTTTTTCTATATTTACAATTTTATTATAAAATAATACAAGAAAAATAACAAACTATTAGAAACATTTAGGTTTAAATCGACCAACTAACAATCACCGTATTTGATTGAAAAAAAAACATTTAAACATGCACCCACATTTTAAATTGGCCAAAAACAACTCATTCAACAAAATAAACGAACTTAATGATTTTGTTATCAAATCATGCATGTGAATAACAACACCAATATACTTACTAGAAAGTAAAGTTATATGAATTATTAAAACATCACGAATCTAGTTTTCCAAATTTAAATTATTTTGATTATTATTGGGAATACAAAGAACATGATCAGGAACAATCAAAATAACTTATCTTTTTTATCATAAAGTCTAAAAGTTGTTTTGTTACTGCTATTAGGGATTGGTTGATTCCAATAATAATTAAATGAATCACTACATCATAATTGATTACCCCTATAAGTTTCCACACATAGATAATCTTGCTTTGTTGCTTGCTTGAAGTTGCCAATCACCACAATGATGAGAGTAAGGGAATCACTTTTGGGTATGTAGGAGGAAACTGATTTGTTAGAGATTTATTGCATCAAGTACACTATATAAAGGTAGTGTAATAATCAAAAGATTTACTTAAGTGCACATACATCATAGAATTTATGTTTTACTAGTTGTAGCAATGTACTTTAAAATCAAACTAAAAGAATTAAGCACTTACCTCT